GTAGAGGCATCTTGAAGTTGTACTCTTCACCGTTGATGTTGCGTCCGTGTGCTTGGAGGAAGTATTCAATCTGGCCCAAAGAGCTACTGCATGATGCTGGAACATCGCCAGGGAACAGGTAGCTGAAGGGGAAGTCGTGATCACCGCCCTTGAGAAGAAGGGGCTCAGTCAGGAAGTCCCAGCTTGTCATTTCCTCAGTCTTGGAAGCACAGTTCGGACAATCCCTTGAGACAGGCTTCTTTGTTGTCTTCTTGATCATGAGGCGCATATCGAACTTGTCCAGCGTGATGCCCGCAACCTCAGAAACATTGATTCTGAGACGGCCAGAAAACAGGGCTCCGGTCGAGTTGGCGGGAGTTCCGTAGCAAACGAGAGGCGGAGACTCAACAATGACATCAAGTTTAGCTGAAGCTGCAGCATCTTCAAAGCTGGTACGCTCCTTTGAGCGGCCTGCGCGTCCGGGGAGGCGGCGTTTGTCTTTGCTGTGGTCGCGGTATGTGTGGATAAAGTGGTCCATGGAGAAGGATAGGCGTCGCTCTGGTGAGTTTGGTCGAGAGGAATTCGTGCTTCTAGGTGTCCTTGGTGTGGAAGTGTGAGAGACATCGTTTACGGAAGTGGTTGAGGAAGAGTTGGAGTGAGGGAAGATCGAGTGGTGAGAGAGGGAGGGGCGGACAAGGTTGGAAAGGAGACGGCCCGGCATTGTGAAGAGAGTAGATTCGGAACTCTTGTAAAGCAAAACGGGGCCGAGAGTGGCAACAGGGATAGAGGAGACAGAAGGAACAAGTGTTTCGGCAGTGAGTTGGGCCTTGGGATTCTGTAAAGCTCCCTTGGTGTAGGCTATACAGCCAAAGCTGTGGTAGTAGTAGATGGCTATCTCAAGTGGTTCAGGACTCGATGCAGTGTTGCACAAGCTGTATGATGTAGTAAGCGGCTGCGCGCATAATCCCCTGGTGTGAGTAGGTAGTAAGAGTTGCAGCTAGCAGCGTGCTAATGGCAGGCGCGGGGTGTGGGAGAGCAGAGAGTAGTATAGCGGAGTATACGAATTGGAGGGAGGAGGCAAGAGGAAACAGTTTTGGATGAACCAAAAAGCGGGCGAGGCGCTGCCTTTGAATGACATTTGCATTTGTCTACTGACTCTTCTCGACTAGTTCTGGTTGACTACAACTGAAATTTTCTGAGCCACGCCGTAGATTCTCGTCGGTTCCCACATGTAACGGAGACAAATTTTTCTTGGTCTGGCCACCTTAAAGCGGACAATAAAAGCAGTTGCTGGTGGGGCTCATGTAGGGAAAAGGCGTCATAGTGGAGATTACTGCCTGTGACGGCGCGGTTTCCATACGTGACAATACATGATCTGGGCTTGGCGTCGCTGCTCCGAGGAGACTCTGAAGATCGATGTGAGCTCTCGGACAGTCCCAAGCTGTTTTGCATATACTAGAAGCATGCGAGGACCAGCTATCACCATAACAATGAGGTCGATGCGCTGCCGTCACCTGGCTAGTCTCTACTAACATGTCCAATGCTAGTCCGACCACCTCGGATGAGAACTCGGGATTATCTCCATGTACGTCCATCCTTCGCTTTTAGGCGAGCAGGACCTTGGAGGCACTTGAGCTAATTCTGAGGTGTCGACCATTCGAGAGATTATTCCAGACACAATCATGAATGCGTGTTCTCAGAAAGCGCATCCAACGGATCCCAAGCCCCGTGCGCGATGACTCACGGAAGATGGGGTCCGTCTCCATCTTGGGGTACTCCGGCTGTACGGAGTCGACTCGGTACGGAGTAAACTGCTGGATTTGTTCTCGACCTCAGTGATCTCCTAATATTGCGTGATCCAATGTCGACATGGAGATTGCTTAGTTGCTGGTCAAGTTTGCGCAACATGGCTCCCGAGATTCGGTCCAGGCGATGAAGTCTGACAAACTACCATGGTAAAGTCCGTGCTGGATGATCTTCAATGGTGTCATATGCTTGCAATAATTAGTGCACAAAGAGATGGGAAGGAGCCGGCGGGCTGAACCAACTCCGCCGGAAGTACTTGCTCGGGGCGATTTGCAGGATGGTTGTATACAGCACTCGACGGCTGGTACCGCGGGACAATACCGACTACGAGTAGCTGAATGGACTACCGTTAACCCAAGCAAGCAAAGACGGTGCGAATTGACGATCCAGAGTCTCGTGCTAAAACGTGGCTGTCTCTCAGCGCCTGACCAGGGAGCTGATTGCTGCCAGTGCTAGACCAGATGCCAGGTCAGCTGCCGTGAATCCGTGAATCCGTCATTGAGCCATCACGTGGCGACAGGAGGTCCCTGAAGGCTCTCCAGAGTCAGAAGCATTGACGCCTCTGTCGGCGGCCTGGGCGTAATCTTCGCCTGTTTGATCGGTGACCGGCACCGTTACAGGAACGTACCGTACAGTACAGCCTGGAAATCCGCACTAGTTGGAGATCCTTTTCCAACTGCGACCCAGGAGGGGCATGAAGAAGGGGGAAGTTCGGAATTTTCCTGGCCCAGCATCATGTAACCCATGTTATGGATCTCAGGGTTGTCCTCGTTGTCACGGCTCCACTTGCAAAAGGCAATGGCGGCTGTTTCTCCCTTCACGGCAGAAAATTCCACAAAGTTTTTGTTTCAGTGTTTTTCCCTTCCAAGGAAGCCGGAGGCCGTTCCGTTGGCTTTAGACTATGACTACGTATTATTGATGGTGGTGTCCGATTCTCCGCCAACCTGCCTGGTTTGGCTAGGCCTCCTAGGTCAAGAGACCCCAATGAACTGCAGGCGCCGTAGCGACGTGCTCGTTGTCCCCGGCGCCCATGCAATTCCCCGCAATGCAGGAAATTTAGCCGGTTGCGGGGGCGTTGCATCGTCTTGCCTCGCTTGCGCTGGGGCAGTCGACGCCGCAGTCAGCTGCTGAAAAAGCAAACAATCGAGGGACAGGCGGATGAAGTGAAGGGGGGAATCATTATACAGCCAGATCGGAGTATCAGATCAGATAGAAGGGATTGTTCTGGACAACCGCTGTCAACGCGGTCGTGGTCCCTTTTTCCGACATTTTTAGAAATTGCTGGCGAATGAGGACCCCCAGCGGCGAGCCCATTACCTAACAGATTCGTCGTGGATGCAACTTGCGCAAATGCCCAGTGCGTGGTTCTGGTTCCCGTAAGAACTTTCGCTAAGTTAATTCTCAGCCCACGAATGCGTCTTGCCTGCCGTCCCGATCGGGACTCTGCCGATTTTCAGTCCTCAACATCGGCATCAAGGTACATCATGCCATCTAGACATCGTCTCTTCTTCCGTGCCTTTTCCGGCGCGGGATTAGCATGACAAGGCGCCATCTCTTCCGACTACTCGTACTTTGTTTCTTCTTGGCTTTCGGATGCGCTGGCCGACTCGACGGAGTGATGCCCCCATCGCGATCAGACACCGATGCAGGACCGGAGTCGTATACGGTGTGACACCTGAGGCAGTGAAAAATACAGAGCAATATCGGACCGATGTCCGACTTTCACCATTTGGAGGCGGCTTTCGCCGCCCGCCTACTTTCTTCCCTTGCGCCTTGTCACGATCCTCCAACGTCAACTCTGACTGGTCCACTCGGCCGAGGATGGAGATGGTGGATCACGGGCGCTCTCAATTCTTCGGAACCAATCTGGAATCATCCACAGTGGACCACGCTTTCTGGAGCTGAGCCGAGTTTTCTCGGGGCGTAACGATTAATAGGGCCTCTGTTGACATTTGTTTCCCCTGCGGTTTCCCGGCGGTATGCGAAGCAAGCCGTCACAGGGGCGCTCAACACCCTCGACTATGGAGCATCAATTGCTTCAATTCGGTGTTCGATCTTAGCGGTTCCATACGAATTGCGCCAGATGGACTATAGGATACGGTGAGTATCAAAACCGCCCGTGACGATTGCAGAGTCAGGCACCGGATGGCGATATCAAACTCCTATTGGTCTTCCCGCGGGAAAGCCTGCTAGTGCGGCGGCTTTCAACCTCCCATCACATCAACGAATGGAGGGGTTCCTGGCCAGAATCTTCAAGAGGCCCAAGCTCGTAAGGAAAACGCGCAATCACCTGCTGTCCTTGTTTGAAGCTTGTCGACCGATGTCCATCAAACCCGGGCACCATGACCAATCATGTCTGTGTCTCATGACACCTTCCTGAACATCTTGGCATCACGCAAGAGAACCCGGCCCGGTTCCGAGAATTGCATGGCGATGCTCTCTTACCTCTCCTCCCCGGTCAAAGTCAGCGTCGTACACGGCTCACGGCCCGGGAGGCGATCCGCCTCGTTCAGCTCCTGCTGCCATTATTTGATATCACGTCGACATCTCAAAACATTATTCGAAGTGTCCGTAATCGGTACCCATCTAGCATGAGCTTCTATACGGTGTAGATATTTATTCGGACGAAACATGTTTCGGGTGAGACTATTTTTGGAGTTTACGCCACCTCCAGGTCATTCCTACAACATACTCTGCCATGAGCCGCCATGTCTTTCATTACATCTCACCGTCTTTCCGGATTATGGCGCTGAGCTATTAAGTTACATCTTGTTTGGTGACTCAGGTCTAGTCTTTCCGTGCAGGACTTCCCCCATACTGGACTTGCAGGCATGGTTTGTGGCTTGCTGCCTTTATAGTCCTTTCACAGTATAAGCTTACTATATAGTTGTAGACTACGACATATAAAAACAGTGCTTTTGACCTGCCCAACAGTGCTGAGCCATGTACTAAAAAGCACCCAAGGTAGCAACGCACTTGATCGGTGTTGAAAAGCATGCTATGATTAGTCGAGCTGGTACACAAAGAAAATGACGGAAAAGCTGATGAGATCACTCTGTATGCTCTACGACGATATTGTTTGACGACCATGTTCCTGGATGCCTGAGGCCTGATTCAACGCCAGGACCCAAATGCTGAGTCAGGGTGGCTGTCAGGGCCATTCCGATTTCCGACCGCCTTTCCGCCACCTGAGATCAAAGTGGCAGTAAATTTGAGGCGGGGTGAAGATCATGAGTCAAAAAAGTGTATCGATTTCATCCCACTATCCAAGCCCCTCCTCCCTCACGCGCCCACACAAATTTTCCAGCACGACGCGATGGCCACCATGGACGCCGCGGCAAAGGCCCGCCTCGATCTCATCACCGAGAACCTCGCAGAGACCCTCAACCCCGAGATCATCGAAAACATTCTCGCCGAAGGCCGAAACCCGCGTATTTACTGGGGAACCGCGACAACAGGACGCCCTCACACCGGTTACTTCGTTGCGGCGATCAAGATCGCCCAGTTGCTCGCTGCAGGATGTGAAGTCGTCGTGCTTCTAGCCGATATCCATGCCTTCCTGGACAACTTGAAGGCGCCTCTCGAGCTTGTCGAGAACCGCGCGAAATACTATTCCAAGGTCATCACGGCCATTCTCGAGTCTGTTGGCGTGCCGACTGAAAAGCTTGAGTTTGTCCTTGGTAGCTCCTACCAAAAGTCTCCTGAATACACAATGGATGTCTACAAGCTGTCATCCTTGGTAAGCGAACATGATGCCAAGAAGGCAGGTGCGGAGATTGTGAAACAGTCAGCGAATGCACCATTGAGTGGTCTTCTCTACTCTATTCTGCAGGTTCTTGATGAGCAGCACTTGAATGTTGATGCTCAGCTAGGAGGTAAGTTCTTTGCATCCCCATTCCTGGGTTATACTAAATATATTAGGCATGGACCAAAGAAAGCTTTTCGCAGCGGCTGTGGAATGGCTGCCCAAGATTGGATATAGAAAGGTGAGATAATAATAAATCATCCGACCTATAGCGAGCCCCATAACTAATGCATCCTAGCGTGCGCATTTGGTCACACCAATGGTTGCGGGTCTTAGCGGAGGCAAGATGAGCTCCAGTGTCCACGGTATGTTCTCCAGCTATTACGTTGTTATCGCAAGAAACTAATGCAGATTTCCCTATACAGACAGCAAGATCGACCTCCTCGACCCTCCAGATGTCATCTCGAAGAAGATCCGCAAGGCCGAGGCAGCCCCTAAAATCATCGAAGACAACGGTGTTATCGCCATGGTTGAGTTTGTCCTCCTCCCCGCAGCCGGTCTGAAGGGCAAGAAGGAATTCGTGGTGGAACGCCGAGACGCAGAGCCCTTGGTCTACACAGATATTGCCAAGTTGAAGGAGGACTACGAAAACGACGTTTTGACTCCACAATCACTAAAGCCCGCTGTCACAGCCGCCTTGACGAGCTTGATGGCACCCATCACGGAGGCCTACAACGCTTCGCCTGAGTGGCAGCAGATTACCGAACAGGCCTACCCACCACCTGTCGTGGAGAAGAAGCAGAAGAAGGTCAAGAGCAAGGGTACTCGCCACCCCGGGGCCAACAAGGAACAAACCCTTCCAGAACGCCCGAAGCCTACTGAACCCGAAACTCAAAACTGAACAATTGTATGCACATATAAGCGGTGTCGATTCATAAAATAACTGGAGTGTTAGATTAGACACAGTATATTTTCCAATGCATGACGTGTTTATGACTAGTCATCTTAAAAGTTCCATTACGTTATGTAGGGTCGAAGCCCTATATTGTTTCTCCAGAAGCTGCGCAAGCTGTGTAGGTTTATACGGAGAAGTCATCTTATCTTGTTCCCTTACACATCTTTCCTTCCCTAACATAATATTATGTGGCTCTGATGGCATGTAGAAGTACCATAATATATGAAATTTCTCAAAGTGATGCGATCTAACTAACCTCTATTACCACTACCTTGAAATGCCCAGCTCCGCCAAAATCGATTCGTTATGCTCGCCCACCTTCGGGACTGCATCCATTCGCGCACGGAGTCCTTCTTGCTCAGAACTGAACCCAGGGGGAAGAAGAGCCGGAACAGTACCTTCAGGCGTCTGCACCTCGGTCCATCGGCCTCGTGCACGGAGCTGTGCATGTTCCCAAACACCCTGCATGTCATTCACATTGGCGTTTGCGATAGAAGCCTTATCGAGTCGGCGAGTAGCTTCCTCCGAAGTAATACCGGCGAAGGACTTGCAGATGATATCTTTCAATGCGCCGCGATTCTTGTCGCGCAGCGAGTTGTTACAGAAGCGCGCATCCGCAGCAAGCTCAGGCTGCGAGAGAACAATGGTGCAGAAGTTGGCCCATTCGCGCTCATTCTGGATGCCCAGCATCACTGATCCGTCGCCTGTCTCGAAGGGGCCGTATGGGTAGATCGAGGCGTGGGATGCGCCGGCAGGCACAGGGCCCGGGGCGCCGTTGAAGGCGTAGTACATCGGGAATCCCATCCACTCGACCATGCTCTCCAGCATCGAGATGTCGATATGGCTCCCACGCCCGCTCTTTGAGCGCTGCAGGATAGCTGCTAGAATGTTACTGTAGGCGTACATGCCCGATGCGATGTCCGCTATAGAGATTCCGACTTTCGCTGGTTCTTTGCCTGTGCCGGTAACGGAGAGCATGCCGGCTTCGCTTTGGACGAGGAGGTCGTACGCCTTCTTGTCTCGGTACGGGCCGTCCTGTCCATAGCCGGAGATATCACAGACAATCAGCGATGGGTGGGTTTCTTTCAAAGCCTGGAATGAAAGGCCCAGGCGGGCACTTGCACCGGGTGCGAGGTTCTGCACGAGCACGTCTGCCTTGCCGAGCAGGCGCATCAGGACCTCGTGGTCTTCGGGCTTCTTCACGTCCAGCGCAAGGCTCTCTTTCGACCTATTTGTCCAGACGAAATGCGACGCTAGCCCGTTCACCCGCGTGTCGTAGTTTCGCGCAAAGTCGCCCACCCCCGGTCGTTCCACCTTGATCACCCGCGCTCCCATGTCTGCTAGCTGTCTTGTACAAAATGGGGCTGCGATCGCTTGTTCTAAACTGACGACTGTGATTCCAGCTAGGGGGCCTTGGTTATTGGTATTGGACCTGCGTGCGGCGGATAGTGAGAAGCACCTTGCGCTTCCTGCTATTGCTGGCTGCGACAGGCAGCGGGAACTTTGTGATGATAACCTGGCAAACATCTTGAACGTGGACTTGTGGCCTGTGAAAGCGAGATCTGGTCAAGCGGTTTGATACAACCAGGAAACAAGTTTGGTTTATAGAGGGTCCGTCGTCTATCGTTGTCGGTAATTCAAGCGGAGAGCATTCAGAGGAGCATGTCGGTTACTTAGTGCATATAACCGAGGCGCATTCGAAGCAGCCTTCTCCAAATCGTCAGGCCCCATACCCCAATTATTGCCTTCCATCTTCTCTGAGTCTTTGGATGTTCAAAATTAATAGGCTGAATTCCGAAAAGGCGTTTGTATCTTGGATCCGATAGCGTTGTTTTAGGGTGTAGGTGGGTAGCAGTCACGCATAGTTGAATAAATATATAGTTGCTGCAGTTGCCTGAGGCAGTCGTAGGACGCAAATATAGATAGACTCAAAATGGCGTAAAAGAAGTCTCATTACTTAAATATTCATAAATTAAAAAAAAAAAAAGGCTCAAAGCTGATAGAAGCATTGGAAGCCGAAGTGTTGCTCCCGCAAAGGAAAACACTCCGTCACCGCCAACCAACGCAGCAACTTCAACCTCGACAACAACCTCCGAGTGAGAGCTTCAGGCAGCTCAATCACCTCTACACTACTCACCCCTTTCATTTCAAACCACATAGCCATTCTCTACTTGGTGTTAAAGCCAAACCGCCAAAATGTCCACCGACGACCTAAAATCCCACGCCACGTCTGGCGCCCATGACTTCTACGCCCTCCTCGACATCTCACCCACAGTGGCCTCCACCGAAATCCGCCGCGCATACCGACGCACAGCCCTCAAATACCATCCGGATAAGATTACAAACCCGACGCAGGCAGACATCGACAAGTTCCATCTCCTCCAAATCGCGAATGATGTTCTTTCTGACCCGACGGTGCGCCAGCTGTATGACAATGCGCGGGAGGCGCGGGAGCGCAAGAAGCGCGAGCTTGATATGATGGACGCGGCGAAAAGGAAGATGAAAGAGGATTTGGAGGCGAGGGAGAGAGCTGGGGCTGCTGCTACTGCTGCTGGAGGTGTGGGTGCGCAGCGCGGGGTGAAGAGGGGTTGGGGCGCTATGGGTGATGACGATGCGGAGGAGAAGCTTGCGCAGGAGATTGAGAGGATCGCGGAGGATGGGAGGAGGAGGCGTAGGGATGCGGAGGACAAGTTGAGGAAGGAGGTTGAGGAAGATGAGAAGAGGTTGCGCGAGGAAGAAGAGGAGAAGCAGCGGGCTAAGGATCGGAGTTCGAAGCGGGTTGATCGATCAAATGAGGGTGGGAAGAATGTCCCTGAGCAGGAGCGTGCGGTGAAGGTACGCTGGACTAGGGAGGGACGAGGCTTGGATCTCGACAAGGATCGCCTGACAGTGTTGTTTGCGCCATTTGGTGCAATTGAGAGCGTCCTTGTCTTGAAGGATAGACGGCAACGTCTTGGGGATAAGAAGGAGAAGAAGACTGTTGCGACAGGCGTGATTGTCTTCGCCTCCATTGTTAGTGCGCATACCGCCGTGCTGGACAGCGAGAAATTCATGCACGAGAGCCTCTCCCGGACGGCCAGCGACTGGAACGTGATCGACTCTGTCTTTTGGGCCACGGGAGAAAAACCAGACCTATCAGGACAAGACACTGGCTCTGCATCTCCGCCAAGTCAGGGACAAGCCGCTCCTTCACCGAAGGAGCAGGGTACATCAGGCTCAGCCCCCAAACCCACTTTCAGTTTCGCAGGGCTCAAGGCTGCAGGATCTGGCGGGCAGTCGGGGAAAGCGCCATCTTTTGGTTCTTTCGCATCAGCAGCAGGTGGTGCCAAAGCAGCGCCCCCTACTGAGTCGGCGAATGGCGTAAAGACGCCCAGTTTGGAAGAAGTCACGCTGATGCGATTGAAGAATGCGCAACGTGAAAAGGAGCGAAAAACGCTGGAGGAGCAACTGAAGAAAGAAGACGAAGCTGCAGATGCAGCCGAGGATGCTGCTGCCAGAAGCTAACTGTCTACATATTCAAGGACGAAGGCGTTCTATGATTTCTACATGATTTGCTTGAAGATACCCTTGCATAATTCTCCTAGAGTTGCACTTATTTTGCATTGTGGCGTTATACAAGTCTAGAATAACTGTACAGTAGTATACAATAACGACCATTGGACCATTTCATCGTTGAGCTCCTTCTTCCTCCAACTGCTCTACATAATCTTTCGCACGGTGGCCTTCGCGATTAGTGTTGTTGGCTTTGGCACCGCCAGCCTCGATAAAATCTCTTGTCCATGATGGCACAATCGGCTTGATCTTCACCTCTCCGCTTTCCGGGGCGTCTGGTGTTTCCGAACCATCCCAGGAGATTTTAAACTCCTGGTCAGGGCTGAATTGAGTCGCCTCGCCAGTAAGTGCGATATCAGTCATCATCTCCAAGCGACACAGCGCAAGTCCGATATTACCAATACCTCCCAAAAACTTCCCGGCACTGCGGCCCTTACGCGGACCGACCTTGGAGATATTCGTTCCTGAAGGAGGCAGAGGGGGCTCAATGGAGGGATCATAAACGGGTACATCCGAAGATGAAACAGCGCTCATATCACCTTCGTACAGCTGGACAGGTAGAACCCGCTTCCGCACAACACCTCTATGGTGTGTTCGGATTGTGAGTTCCTGACCGACATAGCAGCCCTTGCGGAAATCAACGCCCTTCATCATATCCATGTTGTACTCCAATGGCAGCGCTGACTCGCCCACAACTTCGGCGGGGCCTTCCGCAACACCATGAAGAATCCGACGGACAGTATACCCATCTAGACCGGTCTCCGAGCCCGCAACCTGCGTCTCATCGGGAAAGTGCGCTCGCAGGTCGTCCGCTCCGGGTATGATTAAGCGGGATCCGAACCCAGGTGCCCGAGTATCCACACATCCAACAATCGAGGCATCCGATGGGAAAGGTGAGGACGTTGGCGGCTCTAGATTATACGCCGCCCAGCGCGGCTCAGTATGATTCTTCCAAGACGCCCAGACAGTCCGCTCGCCCTCATCCAGAGCGCGCAGCTTTAGCTTGGCTCGTAGTTTATGTTTTTTCAGGTGCTTCAAGAGCTTCGGCACGGCGTCCTTATCCACTTCCACTAGCCATGCCGGTTCCTCCGGTGAAGCGGCCTCCGTCGGGGGTAGCGGGTAAACGAATGCGTCGTTTAGAATTCGGCCGTGCGAGTTGAGAAAAGCAGCGTAGGTTCCTGTGTGCCGTACCCTGCGGTTTGGGTCATTCGCAATAAACATATTCTGAGTGATCAGGCCCTGTAGAAACGTCGTACTATCGACGCCCGTAATGGATATCAACCCTCTGTTGGTGAGGCGAGCATATCCGGCCTGCGGGGGAGACGGCGGACTCCGGGGCTGCTGAGTGGAAAGCAATCGCCATTGGGTTGAGCAACGGGTGCATATTGACTGCGGGAGTGTCGTGGGCCGCATCATACTGACTAGAACCTCTCTTTGCCAGCGTTGACGAAGCTGGGATAGTTTACAAATCGATCGGGCGGACAATGACATCGATCCCTTTTATTGGTAGGCGGTAACTAAAAGTGGCAGTATTCTCATACGTAACAATTGTTTGGACCTCGGGCTTCGAACCCGAAATCATGGGCTCCCTTGTTAATGTATAACTATCAAAAAAAAAAAAAATATACAAAGTCTAGAATACAAGTAGACTTATGCAATGCTAAGAGAACATCAATAACTAACAGCTTATTTACTCCCCCTAGCGACTCCTTCCAAAAATCCAAGTAAAAATGCTTTATTAGCAGGGGACGCAACTCGGTCAATGCTGGAACCCCCCTCGTCACTGGGCACTCCATTGCCCGCTGGGTGATGATGCGGTGTAAGAGGGCTAACAACAGAAGGTGCAGTAGAATGCTTGGAGACAGAGGTCTGCAAGTTCAGCTGCTCTGCAGGTGGGCCTTTCGGGGAAGGAGCAGATTTGCCGAAGAGGGAGAGCAGGGCCTCTCTTTGGGCGGGCGTTTGGCTCGGCCGCCGGTAGGTATCTGGGTGTGGAATAGGAACATCAGGAGACCCAGAAATATCCGCGGTTGCGTGGGGCTCTTCCGTATCCTTAGTCCGGATGGGTAGTGTGCCCTCCACGACCGCTTTATCAGAACGACGCAGTATCTGCGGCTGGAACGTCTTCGCTGGTTCTGGAGACTTTGCCTTCACAGGCCGAGGACGAGAAGTCTGAACAGGAGGCTTTTGTCTTGGACTAGGAGTTTGCTCCCTCCTAGCACTTTGTGGCCTGGGCAAGATGGTAATGGGTGAAGCCAGAGGCTGTGCCTGCCGGTCTCGGCTTTCTTGACGCTTCGGGTCTTTCTTCTTCCTAGTCGACGATTTTGGAATTGCCTCAAATTGTGGTGTATTGAGTGGCCCGGATACCGTGGCGGATGTCCAAGCCCCTTTGGTTGCTTGCTGATTAGTGTTTGAACCCGAGTTCGGACGTTGGAGGATCTGCTTCCTTCCCGGAGACGCGGGATGCGCTGATAGCTCAGCCGGCCGCGAAGCAGCTGGCCCTGGAGATCCCTTCAACAAGCTAAGCAGCTGATCCTGATGGTGGGAAGGTTTACGTTCATTCTTTTGAGGTACCCCAGGTTGCGCTGCCAAGGTCGAAGCAGCGGTCTGCGGGGCCTGTTTCTTCTCGTCTCTAAACACGTTCAATAACGCCAAAGAATGACTTGTAAGCTTCGGTGGAGGCAGATTGCTAGCAGGTGGAATGGCTGCACCCTGGATTTGGGGAGGTTGCGCTGAATGAGAGAATTGAGGATCTCCCGTCCGCTGGTACGGAGCTGGAGCAGGAGCCTGTCCCTGGACAGGATGGAATCCGGGTGGTAGCGGTGGGCTTGGCGGAGCGGGACGGTGTTGGGGTGAATCGAACGCGCCTGGGTAGCCAGCCAGGGTTCCTGATGGGGGAGCTGCTGAGAACGCCGGCGGAACTTGCGGTAGATGTTGATTTGCCGAGGAAAATGGGACCTGCGAAGGATCACGGTATGGGGGTGGAAAACGAGGCACATCGCCCATGGGCCCGGCATATTGCTGAGGGAAACCGGGAAAGAACCCCGACGGCGGGTGCGGTTCAGGTCTATCCAGATGTGACTGTGAAAGTTGATTACCTGAAGAACCGCTCCGTAGTAATTCCAGAAGAGCATGGGATTTGGACGAATTCTGATCGGTATTGGAGAATTCTTGGACTGGTCCTGGCGCAGGAAGACCGGCGTTGATGTTGAGGAGGCGCTTAAGATGCGCAGATGCATCTTGAGATGCTGCCACTTCAGGCAAGTCACTAGGAACAGCTGCTTCCAGAGGCACTTTGTTCGGCAGGTGACCAACATTGGTGGCCTGGAGACCTTCGTCCATCGAGAACTCTCCATCATTAAGAGCTTGGCCTGCATCCAGATGCGTTTTCGGATCGAGTTTCTTCTGCTGCGCAATCCATTTTTTGAGCGGATGTAGGAAAGGCGCAACCATGTAGAATTTGTTCGCATTGGCAGCAGCCTGTCCCTGATCGTATTGCTTGCTCTTTTTCAAAGTCGGCAAATCCGACAACTTCCACCATTCAATCTTACTGATCTCCTTCCTTGTCCGAGGCTCAAAGTAAGCGTCACGTGGTACGCCGCGGAAAACATATAACCTCATGTGTTGTTCACGCATGGTGATCTCAATGAACTTAACGTTCTCATCGCCAGGGACGAGTCCTGCTTCCTGAACGTCGTAGCCAGTTTCCTCGTATACTTCACGAATGGCACAATCAATATCCTTCTCATCTTTGTTGATTTTCCCGCGGGGGAAACTCCAATTCGCACCCTTCTTCCAACCCTTGACCAGGACGACCTCATCCATTTCTTGGTTCAACATAATGGCGCCACGAACAGGAACTCGAGTCTTGTAGGCAAGGAACTCAGAAAATGCGGTCATATGGTGGTATCGGGACCAGCTGGCCATGAGCGGACAATGCTGGAAAATCCGCAGAGCAAAAGCTTTCAGCGATAACGAAGGAAGGGCCGGATCCAACGGCCGGATGAAATCTTCGTAGAACCATTGCGCTTCCTCGACTTGGAAACATATTCGTTCAACTGATTCCAATTCTTCACGAGGCAGGTTTATAATAAAGCGGACGCACAAGTCATCTAGCCCTGTTTGCAGTCGCTGTTAGTGAGCTGGTTCACGCCGAGAGGCGCGAAGGGAGGGGCAGATCGAAGAACAAAACTTACAGTCCTCCAGCTGCATCTTTGTTTCGGTCATAGTGTAGAGCGTGCGATGACATTTCAAGACGGCCTACTGTGGCCGAGTGTTGCTTCAAAGGTCGGGCGTGAAAGGAAGTTGTTGACGTAGGCAGTCGTCAAGCTTCAAGGAGAGGTGCTTGGCGAAGCGCCAACCCTGAAGCGTACAGTTATTGTGCACACAGTACTGGAGAGAAAGTCGTGGCTTATCTGGTCGCGACAAACGCAAGAGTTGTTAGGCGAGAAAGGAGCGTCAGGCCGTCAGTTGTCGAGGAGGAGAAGTCGGACAGCTGGTGAAAGTCGGTGCCAGGTGGGCCAGCTGAGCAGCCTGGTCAAGGCATCAAGGCAGGACACATGTGGCGTAAAAGCTGCGCCACACCCCGCCACACCTGACTCATTATGGAAAACGCGAGAAATCTTTCCCATTAGTGCCCCTCATTTTCGCGGGTCGCCAGTCGTTATTCATGCGTTTTTTAGTCTCTTCAGTCAAGGCCTTCCGCGATCTTTCCCCGTGTGCCCCCTGGAGACCTCTCATACACACTCATTGGGAAATCCGGGCCACCAGCGTTCACTATCGACACTTTCGTTCTTTCACTTCTCAGCCTTCACAAGACGAATCAATAGACATGGCAACGAAGGAGGGGAAGTCAAATAAGTTGAGCTTTCAGCTCAAGACGCCCAAGGGCACGAGGGATTGTAAATACTCCTAGCCCTAACCGCATTGGATTCCATTACTAACTTACGCCTTCACAGGGATTGGCGTTGATATGATCCTACGGTAACCATCATCCGATTACGAGTGTTTCCCATCGCGTGCGTCTCATTTACTTACGCTGTACCCCACAGTGAATCAATCTTCAGCGCCATTAGCGAAGTGTTCAAGCGCCACGGCGGCACACAACTCGATACACCGGTTTTCGAACTCAAGGAGATTCTGGCGGGCAAGTATGGCGAGGACTCCCGTCTGATCTACGATCTTGCCGACCAAGGGGGTGAGGACAGTGCGCTTAGATATGATTTGACAGTGCCGCTTGCGCGGTGGCTCGCAATGAACTCTTCAGTGCAGCACATTAAGCGATATCAGATTGCCAAGGTGTATCGACGAGATCAACCGGTGAGTTATCCATCTCGACAAGTTGGCAGAACTGTTGGTCACAGGCTAATTCATTGGGTTGTATAGGCAGTTGCAAAAGGGCGGATGCGCGAGTTCTACCAGTGCGACTTCGATATCGCCGGTTCTTACGATGCTATGATTCCCGATGCCGAAATCCTGAGAATAGTGGTGGAAGTCTTTGAAGCGCTAGGGATGCAGGATTCCATCACAATTAAGCTCAACCACCGGAAGATCCTGGACGGATTATTTGGGGCTTGTGGAGTCCCTGAAGATAAAATTCGCTCAATAAGTTCGGCAGTTGACAAACTCGACAAGGTACGTCCATGTTTTCTCTGTTTGGGAACCCCACTGACCGGATTAGCTTCCATGGGACCAGGTCAAACTTGAGATGGAAGAGAAAGGTCTGGAATCTAAGGTTGCGGATAAGGTTGGAGAATATGTGAAGCTGAGTGGTGGCCGTGACATTTTGGAAGCCATCAAAGCAGACGAGCTTCTTTCGGCAAATGAGAACGTTAAGAAGGGCGCCGAGGATATGGAGCTTCTATTCAAATATCTCGAGGCTTTCGGCGTACTAGACAAGGTCTCTTTTGATCTATCCCTTGCCCGAGGCTTGGATTACTACACTGGTCTGATTTACGAAGTTGTTACACCTCTTTCCTCTCCAGAAGGATTCGCCAAGTCCCAGAAGAAGTCCTCCAAGTCAAACGGCGATGATCCTAACGTCGGTGTGGGCAGTATTGCTGCGGGTGGACGCTACGATGACCTGGTCAACATGTTCAGCAAGAAGCGTCAGATCCCCTGTGTCGGCATCTCATTTGGTGTTGACCGAATTTTTACAATCATGAAGCAGCGAATTGAGCAGGATGCCAAGGATGGAAATTCCGCTGTTCGCGCCAGCGAATCCGACGTCTTCGTCATGGCATTTGGTGGAAAAGGTTTCAGTGGCATGCTCGTTGAGCGCATGTCTGTTGCCAATCAGCTGTGGAAAGCTGGCATCAAGACGGAATTTGCCCAATCAGTGAAGCCTAAGCTACCGCAGCAATTTAAGCTGGCTGAAGCGGGCGGCATCCCACTTGCTGTAATTCTCGGAGAGGACGAATTAGCAGCTGGCAAGCTCAAGCTAAAGGAGCTTGGCTTGCCAGAAGGTCACCCAGAAAAGGACGGATATTTGATCTCGAGGGAGAATCTAGTCGAAGAGGTTCAGAAGAAGCTGAACAAGACCACGCTGCCGATTCGCTAAGTGGATGTCCACATATCCTTGCATTATTAGCAGACTAATGCTCAGCATGTCGGAACAAGATACCCAGCGAGGTTAAGAGGAACACAGGGCAGCTGGCTATCCTGATAGGACGAAAAAAATAGAATAGATATCCAATCGTCATAGTACAATTCTTCTTTCCCTTTTCTTCCATTGGAATTCTAGTGTCTGTTCCTATTCGATGATCACATCGCCCACGTGACCCGTTCCTGACGTCACCGCGCTCTCTGATTTGCAGACTGACAACATAGGAAGCATGAATCAACATCATTGAACCCATGGACGACGAGGACGATGACGTCTAGATGGTTTCGACCCTCACTGACGTACAATGTTTTACACAAATCGCTCGACTCTATATAACAGGCTTCTACCAAGCTCTTGGCCCAAGAAAGTGGCAAGACATTATTCACTCGAAGAAGCACACAAAACAGATCAGTCTTAATCTGGTTACCATTCTCCACACCTTTCACTTGGCATTGCTTCTATTCTACTATGGCTACTCAAGCTATTCACAATGCATCTCGGGCCTTCTGGAGCGAGGTTGATGCGCTCCGAGGCGAGCAACAGGCAGCTCAGACTACCGAACAACGCGTTCCGCAGTCGTATAAAGAGGAGCCCATTGCTGGCGTCCAGGGCAAAGGAACCATAAACGACCCATACGATGCGGGCAACCGAGACGGTAAGCATGACTTGTTCCATTGAGGCTGATCGGGAAGCTGACCCAACTTGCTTAGAACAACCGGAAGCCCCCATATCCAAAGAAAATACCGCTGCCACTACAGAGCCTCTTTCTTCCACAACTCCCGGCACCGGTACTGGCGCTGGCGCTATTAGCGGCACTGGCACTGGCACCGGCACCTTCCAGGACAAGTACCGGAGAGGCAGTGACAAAGCAACACTCGTATCCTCGGGCATGGAGCATCCTTCTGGTCTTGGTGCAGGAAACACTCAGAAATATGAGGGCCTCGGCGGGTCTCGCTCTATGACTGATGAGCCTCAACCTACCGGGGCCACCTCTCAACCCTCTGGCTCTACCTCTGCTGCGACGGCCGCCGCAGGATCTACAACTGGATCCACTGCTGCTGGAGGTTTGTCCGAACAACGAAGCCAGCCTTTATCCACACCATCCCAGACCCAGTACCAGAAAACAGCCGCTGACTCCACTGCTACTGGCACTTCAACCTCACAGCCCGAGGTTCAGGGCACGGGGGGTGCTGGCGGGCCTAGCACTACTGGTACCTCAGCCTCACAGGCCCAGACTCAGGGCAAGGAAGGTGCCGTCGAGTCTAGCACCACTGGAACATCAGCCTCAAAAGGCAATAAGGATGGTGCCGGCGCCCAGAGTGCTGACGATGTTGCCGCTATGGCGAAAAAGAAGGGTGTCAGCGAGGAGACTCTCAGGGGCCCCAAGGTTTCCGTACCCCGGGAATCGTACGCAAAGCAGCAGAAGTTTAGTACTGCGGGGTTGAAAGAGGGCGAATCGACCGGTCAACCCAAGACATCCAAGCCTGGTTAGTAACCATTGCTACTGCCTCGTACTATCATCTAGCATCTTATGTTCTTGCTAACCACTTTCTCATTATAGAAGGGAAATCTACTGAAAGCGGCCAAAAAGCCAGTGATACCAAGAATGCCAGCAATGGGAAGGATAGCGGTGTGCAGCACCATAGGAGCGTGAAGGAGAAAATCAGTGACATGCTGCATCACCGCTAAGCCCTCCTTTTCTGTGGTAATGCAGCCGCTACGCGAGTAAGGCAAATGGTATGGCCGTTAATTATGATTTAATCGGTAGGCAACGCTTCCATTAATTGTATTATAATAGTTGATATGTATTATGAATCGTATGAATATACGTATATACAAAGTCTACCCATTATTATACCATCGTAGTTGTACCAATCCCGCCTATGCGTATACATGTCAGATGTAGCGCAACATCACTCAAACAGCAACTTCAATTCCTCAATCCTCTCCTTCCTCTTTTCATCCTCATTCCCATCGCCTCCAACCAACCCTAGCGACCCTGCAATATTCATCTTCCGCTCCTGGATCTTTAGCATCCTTCCCTCAATCGAGTCTTTCACAATGAATCGAACAACATTTACATCACGAAGCTGACCCATCCTATGTACACGGTCGATCGCTTGTGCCTCAATTGCAAAAGACCACCAGGGATCCATCATGAATACATTCGAGGCCGCAGTGAGATTGAGACCGACCCCGCCGGCACGAAGACTAATCAGGAGGACAGTTGGGGAAGAAGCGCTTCCACCCTGGTTATAGGTTGGGGCGGTAGGACGTTTGGGTGTATCTGGTGTGCCTGGTGCGGGCGTGGCTGTTGTAGGTGTGGATTCAGCCTGATCGAGCTCCTCCTGAGTGAAGGTATCGGTTTTACAGAATTGAGCTAGGACTTCAGCGCGGGCTTTCTGTGGCATTGTGCCATCGAGACGCACGTGTGCGATCCCGGCTTTAGATAGCTGGGGGGCAATGAGGTCCAGAAAGGAGGTGAATTGGGAGAAAACAACGGATTTTGTACCGGCTGGGACACGAGAGAGGCGTGAGAGAAGGGCGTGGATTTTGGCTGATGTATGGGCGGATGGGGAGAGGGGGTTGATTCTTCGCAGAGAGATCCGAGGTGTCGGTTGAGAGCTGCCATATAAGTCGTTACTATCTATAGAGGAGGGTGGCTCGGCCGGTGTGGAGTTCGGCGCGTGACGGACGACTTCGAAAATGTCTTGCGCCGTTAGTGATGCACGGCAGGAGAAGCAGCGAGGCTGGACGCCTTTGTCTGTTTGATGCTTTATGTAGTCCTCTAGGCACTTCTTGCAAGCGCTGTGCCAACAAGATGTGACGGCTGGGTCGATCATCGGTTCCTCTGAGCAGATGGGACATTCTCCACTTGACTCTGTTTGGATTTGGCGTAATGCGTGGGCAGTGAAAGTTACTGATGGATCTTGAGGTTCGTTGGAATTGGCGTTTTGAGTCGTTGAGGTGAAGCGGCTAATGAGTTCTTGGAGGTCCATATCATCTTTGAGTTCGTTCGCCTGGTCGGCAGAAGCTGCGGCATCTTCCTCATCTGCAACGATTTCTTTGTTACGCGTAAGGATTGGATGACAACATGTCTGGCGGAGACGGAGGAGTTGTGCAAATATTGTTGAGTACGACTTGAGCAATGTTCCGGCTTCCACGTTGCTGTTGAATGTTTGCTTCGCCCGAGTGAAAATGTGATTATAAATTTCCCTTTCCTGCTCTATAAGCTCAACTTCTTCAATTTGTACAGTCCGCTTGGGTAATGGCACCAACGGCTCGCCTTCAGGTGTCTTCATCGTCTTGGTACGCCGAAGGACCAGTGGCTCGAGGACCGTCTGCACAACGCTAAGCGCGCGTACGAATTCCTTTGATTCGAATGGCGTAGTAATGAAGGTTTTCCAGAAGGAAAAGTTATCCCATGGCTCAACCTTCAGGAACCTCACCAAGCTGAACAAATCTTCCAGACGGTTGACAATGGGTGTGCCAGTGAGAACCCATCGGTGTGTTGCCTTGATATCATAGCAAGCCCTGGCTGTCTTTGATCGCCGATTTTTGATAATGTGAGCTTCATCGAGGATGGTCCGGAAGAAGTCTACCGAGAATAGATTTCCTGGTGTCCAGGAAGCGCCCGCTGGTATCGCTTGTTGAGACCGATGCTCCGCCAGGACCACACCATAACTCGTGACAATCACATTTGGGGCTGCAGCATTATCGGCAGAACACAACTCCCGTAAGTTCACAGCCTTCTCGTTTCCATAATACATTAGTACTTTCATTGAACCATCATTGGAGGCTTTTACAGCTTCATTCTCCCACTGTGCAAGTAAAGAAGTTGGCGCAACAACTAGGGTAGTATATGGTGCCGGCACTACGCCGGACGCGGGAAGCCTGGTCAAATTTCTGGGGTTCTGGTTTAGAGGAACATTCCTATGAGAATGAATCAAGCTAAGCATCTCGATCGTCTTGCCCAAGCCCATCTCATCAGCTAGGATGCCACCCAGACAATGTTGTTCTTGAGCAGGAAAATCAAGACTCAGTTCTCCAGAGTAGGGATTAACGTAAAAGTGATCTATCCCTTCAATAGTCGGCATTTCTTGGTCATCGACGTCTTTCAACGGCCACTTATACTCCTCCCAAAGCGGGTGCATCGAGTCCTCTCTACCGGACTTTTTATCTTTTTCCTTTGAAAGCATCCAGTGTAATGCCTGCTTCTGATATTTTCGGAGATTTAAGGCAAATGACGGCGGGGGCTGAGCTTCCGGCATATTGAAATCGAATGACTGTGCCTTCTTATAGAGTGCATCAAGTTGATCTTCCTCGAGCTCTGCGGGTTCCTCTTCTTCAGAGTCATTATTTCCGGGCTTGGCCCCCTTTTTAGCTTCTTGATCTGCCATTTCCGCCGCGCGGAGCAATCCTTCCTTTTTCTGCTTTTTGGTCGTGTCGTCCTGCGATGTAGCTTGGAGACCAATCTCGTCGAAAAGATTCACAAGAGCGACCTGGCGAAGACGCAGCTGTTTCTCCTCGGTGTTTTCTTCCTGCTCGAAAATTGTTGTCGCCCTATTGTCATCCATTGATTGATGTAGTATCTTAGGCTGGAACGCTTCTATTCGCATGTAACATCGGAGCTGCAGATAAATAGTGTCGTTCACTCTAAGTCGATCCGGAGCGAAAACACAAGATCCTCGAAACTCACAGATCTTCTGATCGATTAAGGTGGACACCCATTCGGCTGTCTCCCGTGGAAGTCTTCCAACCTCTTGGCCGGCGATGTTCGTGAAGCGTGTGAGAACATCCCCTTTCTGGTTGACCCTTAGTTTTCCGGTACGACCACGAGTTGAGAGAGGCTGGGACCTTGCACGCTCAATTCTAACTTCGTCACCGTGTTGGATAAAACCTAGCCCGCTTCTAGTGGCCCACGCTCCTACACCGAATGCCCCGACATATCTTAGCGGAGGCTGGGATGTCCAGATCCGTCGCGGAGCCGCTGACTCGGCAACTTCCACCTCATTCTGCACTGAAGCTGTATCATTCGCTATTGATACATTCGATGGGGTCGGCTGTTTGGATACTGATTGAGCTGGGACTGGCCCACAGGGTAATAGTGTCGTTTGACTTGATCCAGCATTTTTAGATGTCTTCCACGATCCATCAAAGTATATATTAATCGCTTTCTCGAGGTTACCACCGGATATTTTCCGAACTTTCTGTAACGTTTCCTGGGGCACCTCTTCACCCACGATGCTGATGAAAGTCGCCGTATCGAATCCGTCTATACTTTTTTGGCCTGGAGATTCGGAGGTTTGCAGGGAGGTAGGAAAGGATGCCGCTTGCTGGGCTGACCCGGCATTTCCAGGTATATGGTCTCGCGGCGCTAGGTGGAAAGCATGGGAGCCGTTGAGGCCATTATCTAGTCCCGTGTGCGAAGGTGATGGTGTCGACGCGTCTAGACTCGATGTCGGGGCCCCAGGTTCGACGGCGGGTTGCGGCGTGTCGTGTGGATCATCAACGAAAAAGCGTCTTTTCTTAAAAGGACGATCATTAGCAGCGTCGAAGTCCATCGTGTGCCAAGTATATATGTGTTTGGACAAGATGAGGTGGGGATGTGAGAAAACTAAACATGGAGTCGATTGAATTATGCTGGCGATTGTCTCTCGGGAGACGCGCCGACGCGCGAAAAGTCCGTTAATTAATATTCGGGCCGACGTCATTTGAGAATTTCAGCGGAGAAAAAAAGTACCTCCCAACACCAACGCCAACCTCAGTGTATCGAGTACTCAAACTCCCATCTTTTCTCGCAGATCTCCAGTTCAGGCTCAGGTGCATTGCTGTTGATCCGATTATTGTTTGCTACTTCGACCGGTCTTGCGATTCTGCGCAATCCATTCGACAAAAGACCGGACATCAAACCTACCTCAAAACAGCCGCAAAGATATGTCCTTATTTAAGGATGCACTGCGGCCATGCCGCTCGAGCTGCCAAATGCGCAATCTCTATATTGTCCCCAAAAAGCCGTTTCATCAAACGCGCGAGCTCAGCACAAGTCCTCCCATTGCCGGCGCAGCGGAAGAAGAGGTCCAAGCCGCACATAGATATTGCCTTAATCTTCTCGAGTACGCAATCGCTCACTCCAGCTATACGGAAATATTCGGTGCAATGCTAACCATATTTGTCTTACAGAAAATATGACCGACCCTCTTATACTTTAAGCACCTTCATCCCCCGCCAAACACAACCAGCCTACATCGCCCTCCGCGCCCTCAACTCCACCCTCTCCCTCATCCCCGACACAACCTCTTCGCACACAATCGGCCTAATGCGCCTGCAATTCTGGCGCGAAGCCATCGCAAAGACACTCGCAGGCACACCACCGAAAGAACCCATCGCCATTCTCCTCGCGTCAGCAATCGAAGACTTGCACCACAGAAGCGACGGAAAAGCAAAACTAAGCAAGAACTGGCTGAACCGCATGGTTAATGCGCGGGAGCAAACGCTTACGAATGATCCGTACCCCAATCTTGAGGCGGTGGAGAGCTATGCAGAGAATACGTATAGTACATTGCTTTATTTGACGCTGTCGACTATGCCGATGGCTAGTGTTACGGCGGATCATGTTGCGAGTCACATTGGGAAAGCTGCAGGGATAGCGGCTGTTTTGCGGGGATTGCCGATTGTAGCATTCCCGCAACAAGTGCAGCAGGCGCAGGGTGGACCTGTTCAGGGAGGGTCCAGGCAGGGTGCTGTGATGCTGCCGTTGGATGTTATGGCGCAGGCCGGGGTGAAAGAGGAAGAGGTATTCAGGCGGGGGGCGGAGGCAGAGGGCCTACGTGATGCGGTATTCACGGTTGCGACAAGGGCGAGTGATCATTTGATTACAGTGCAGCAGATGCTGAGCAATCTGCGGGCTGGGAGTGACGTCGGCCATGATTTTGAACATGAAGGGGAGGAGGATCATCAGTATGCTGTTGGAGACGGTTCACAGCATGAGTCGCCTCTCGATGAGGTAAACCGGGCCTTTGGCGTTTTCATGCCTGCTGTTGCAACGCGACTCTGGCTGGACAAGCTTGAGAGCGTGGACTTTGATATCTTTAGACCCGAGCTTCTTCGGTCTGATTGGAAGCTTCCGTGGAAGGCTTATATGGCATTTCGACGCAAGTCTTTCTAGAATATCTCTATTATAGAATTTACAATATAGAACTGAATGTACAATATAAGGTCACCGCTCATGGCCTAACAATAATTGTCATCGAATACGGTTTTGTCGCTGTGGACCAATTCCGATAAACACCAAGGTCAATCTCGCTTGGATACTTTTTGCCTTCTCTGTCGTCTCGAACTGGAAATAAGGCGTCTTTGTGCCAGTAATACAGCATACCGCTGGATTTTATCCCGCCTGGCAAGATGGGTTAGCACGGTCACGAAATTGTCGAGGGGCGCCTCACATCAAAATAAGCGTAGTTGCAAAGACGAAAGGCGGTGCAATTATCCAGAAATATCTAACCAACCAGATCAGCTTAGGTTTGTCTGGCCATGCCATCTTTATACTTACGAATCGCTATGGTCGGTGACTCCAGAGAATCTGTCAAAATTCATACCAAAATAACCCTGTTGAGAGTGAGCATAAGATACTTGTACTCGCTGCCTAAAAGACCAACCGTTAAAAAGGTAAGAGGGAGATACAAGCACGTCACAAGAGTCAACTGCTTCATACTCTCATTCTGGTATGCACCTACTATATGTTAATAGAACAGCCAAGGAGTAATCGACGAGGCACTCACCGATTGTGTTGAAGATCAGATCAATCATGTTGTCTGCAGCTCTTCGCATTTGGTCGTATCCCTCAACGATGGTAATACAGTGATCTAGTGCATCGCCCAAGTATGTATGGCACATAGGACTTATGGACACACTCGTGCCACCTATACTCATAAGATTTGGAGTACTAATGCCGATGTGTCCCGGAGCGGAGGAAGGTGTCGCAAACCCTGGAGGACGGAGTGTTGCAACACCAGGAGTGCTGATGGGTTCAGAACGATGGTCGCGAAGAGCATTAATAATGGTCGCAATCGGTTGCATAACGCTGCGAAGGATTGCGATTTCGGATGTTAGGATATAAAGACTCTTGGATTGGTCAACATCCGGGTCCGTCAGGACGTCGAGCTCAAGATCACCGATTGCGTCTTGGTAGGCTGTGGTCACCGGTATCGCCAAGTCGATAATGGCATCCAATATGGCCTGCACGAGCATACTGGCATCGCATGACTGGCGTAAAATCGTCTCAGGTTGGGTAAGGCGCCTCGCAATAGGCGCCTCAATCTCTTCTGCACTTGCTTCGAAAAATGAAATGACAGTATTATCAGCGTTGAGAAAGATTGAAACTTGTTCCAGTGTTACGCCCAGGCCCTTTGGAGCTAACACAGCATGGCGCTCCATGAAAGCAATCCGATCTTCGTTCGGGCCACCTCGGTACCGCTGAATACTGCGCGCAGGACCAGGAACATCAGCGAGATCACCGAGTCTGGGGTTCTTCGAGGATCCATTCATAGCAAACCGAGAGCCAGCTCCATCGGTATTCCTGTTTGATGCTTCATGTTTTCGCGATTTAGGCCAGAAGATATCTTTCAGGGCAGCCAGGATAACACGTCGCCGGGTGGGCTTCTTCACAGATACCGATCTGCTACTACTCATCCCGGAGTCTCTTCGATTTGGCCTGAAGGACTCATTATCATCAGGGTCCTCCTCTTCTGAGTCGCTCGAGTCCTGTCGAGTGGTGATCAACTTTTGTAGCGTAAGAACGATATACGCATGATCAGAATACCAATCCACCTTGGTGCGATTGGTCTCGTTGATTAAGTCTTCCAGCGCAAGCCTGTGCAATCCTTTTTGGTTACCCAACACCCTAATAACATCCCAGCTGAGTCCATTGACGTTGATCCACCTGCACTGCACCCAGGGCTCCCGCTCTCGGGCCATAAATTGCTCTATCGTGTCGTTGTCGAGTGCGTATTGGCGCATTTCATTCTGAGAGAAGTCCACTACAGTGATATCGCACCGACGATGTAAGCTCGTTGATATTGAGGTCATCCATTCTGCATTATAAGCCGGGAGAGGTCTGGTAGGATCAATACCAGGCTCCGTCCCCGGCTGCCAGCTTGGGTCGTGCGCAACAGTGTCCGGACGGTATGAACGGGCAGTATTAGCGCGTCGCGCACGGTGCCTGATTGTCTCCTGAGAGCTCGGCCTTGCAGGAATAGTCCGCGTCTCTGGTGATGTGGGTTCCCAGGTGGTGGGGAAAGGCTGTTCCTGCGGTGAACGTGGATGGGCTTCAATATCAGGCACTGATCCAGACCGTGGGGACGGGGTGCTCGCAAATGCGGCATGGTCATGGGAGTGGACGCTCATATTGCCCAATACACAAGGACCCTATCAGAGCCGATGAACAGGAGAATGTATTTCAAGAACATCGAGTGAAGCTTGATGTGTTTTTTCCAGTTGTTGTCGCGGCTTCTTTATCTCCCATTCGGATCCCTTGTCGTCGGAGATGACGTTTCAGGGGAGGAACAATTTCATAGGGGTAATACCATAAGATGGAGAGGCCCAGCGATGGAAGAAGTCGAGGCAATAGTAGTGGAGACAACCAAGGTGAGACCCCGAAAGAACGTCCAGAACATACCACGTTCCATTCCAACCTTGATGGTTTGGCTTAGGCCTTTGATGTCACAGCTGGACCCTGGGTGACGTCTTGGCGCTCTTACCCGATTTGGGACTTTATACATATCCCGGCCCGTCGTCCCTGCCGCAATTAATTTACCCACCTAAGTGCCGAGCGGATGCCTTCTACTTCAATGATATAAAGCCATAGGCAATTTGATTTCTTGGACTATTGTACATAAGGTATGTTTCTCCTTTCATGTTGGTTGAAGCTCTAAACCACGGTCTAGACTCCGGGCCGTTGCAGGTCTTTCGCATGGATAGCTGCAAGCACATCGCGACCGTAGCGCAGTCATATGCACTGACATGTCTCGACGGGAGTGATGGTGGCGCTTCATATAATAGCGGCCCTCGCCATGGCACCATACCCCACAGGCTCAAACGAGGATGTAATAATGGGAATACCCCAAATGAGCCTTCTTTTCTATGGTGTTCCATGATGTCGGTATGATAAGTGGGGTTGTACCTAGTTGATAGTAAAATGGTGTCCAGATATTCAAGACGAATATTCAAGATGTACCCCCGTGCTTCGTCCGCTTTTTGGTAACAAGCTTTATTTGTAAAGGTATAAGATTTCTCTTGTTTCCGGGTGCATCTGCTCTCGCGAGAGGTTTTCTGCATACGGGGCATGTACCCCGTGGGGTTTTTCCCGTATGGTCTGCTCGCTGCTCTTCACTAAATTTCAGTGTCTCGATAATGCACTTATGGCAGAATAAATGACCTGATTCGAATCAGCAAATGCTTACAGGTTCACCGCCAAGGTGCCTACCGCAAACCGTAGTTGTAGCATCTACAGGAGTGTCCATGCACACAGGACACGTATAACCAGTGAGTCGTGAGCGCGCATTTGCGCTATCATCTGTGTGCTGGGCGGCGACTGCATCTTCACGTTGCCTCGCCAGTACTTTGGCAATAGCTGAATTTCCATCGACATCGGTGAGATCAATAGACTCGATAGGTTCATTTTCGGGTTGAGATGCTGTTGAGGAAACACTCTGGTTCGTAAGTCGGCGGCGTTTACGAGACCCTGAAGGGCCTGCTTGAGTAGAAGGTCGTCGAGAACGAGGTGGTGATGAGGATGGTATCTCCACCGTTGAGATGCGACGTCTCTGAGAGGAAGAAGCCTGGTTATCCATATTTATAAGGGGGAAATCTAGGGTTATGTTCGTTCAAATCCTGGCTGGGGAATAACACCCCTCTCAGTGATAAATGTCTATTGAAATAGGGAGACAACTGCCAAAAGAAGTGCATAAAGGCGAAGGAGTGCCCGCCACTTCATTGTTTGACAATCCCGGATTCTGCCCAGCTTATCACCTGATTGATAAGGCATCGACTGTATCGGCAGGCGGTGTGATTATCAGGAATATTATTCTTCCGTACCAAACTGTCGGAACGGAACTCTTGTTCCACGATAGGAAAGAGCGTTGGTGCTCACTTCCCTCCCTGTCTCATGTTGCCTCAACTCCCAACGCTCAAACCGACACCATTTCAGTTGGCTTGTCATGGAGCTCATACGCTTGGCTTTTTCTCAATAGTAATATGCTTAGGAGTCACTACCCACCCTATTCGAGGGGCCTGACTCGTTTCTACGCTCAGAGACTTCGCGTTCGCCCCCTTGTACAGCCGCATGCTTCACCACTCTCAATAAGACACTCCAGTTCGCAAGATGGCAGAAACGAGACCCAACAGACACAACTAAAAGGTAGGTTACAATTGTGAACGTGCGACGGGCTCTTTGACGCTAACTTTTTAAGTCCCTGCTGCGGCGAGGTTCAACGAGATCGGTGTCCAACAACTGAGCGACCATGTCTACTCGCAGATATTTTTCAATAAGTCGAAACCGCCTGATCCGAATCTAGTCGCCCTATCAAAAGACCATCTCGCGCGCCATGATCTACTTGGGAAAGCACAGGAGCATGCGGATCCGGTCGCCTTTGACCTGCCCGCTCTCCAGGGGCAAACGTTGGATGAGCATTTCTTCAAGCTAGGAATGGACTCGTCAGAGCCATATCTCACTCACTCCAAGCAATATGCGCTAGTAAATTCACCGGTACTACCTCGAAAATGGATCAAGCGCAGTGGGTGGACCAAATATAACAAGGATGGCACGTGGGAGGCTGTGGAGGCACCGAACGAGTCAATGCTCACTTTTGACACTGAAGTGATGTACAAAGAACACCCATTTGCTGTAATGGCATGCGCTGTTAGCCCTTCGGCTTGGTATGCTTGGATATCCCCATGGTTATTGGGGGAATCGGAGAACGAAATCCAGCTTGTTCCCTTGGGTGATCCAACCCAACCTCGTATCATTGTCGGACACAACATCGGCTACGATCGTGCGCGCGTATTCGAGGAGTATGATTTGAAGCAGACTCGCAATTTTTTCCTTGACACAATGTCTCTCCATGTTGCTGTCAACGGAATGTGCTCTCAGCAACGGCCTACGTGGATGCGCCATAAGAAGAATAGAGATCTAAAAGAAAAGATTGCAAGCGACAACGACTCTGTCGAGCTCGCAGCGTTAATCGAAAATAAGATGCTGCGGGAAGAAGAAGAAGAACTCTGGGTTGGGAGAAGTTCGGTCAATTCACTTCGAGATGTGGCTAAATTCCACTGTGATGTTACAATCGACAAGTCCCAAAGGGACTACTTCGGGGAGCTTGACAAGCCTCAGATATTGAGTAAATTGGACGAGCTACTTGATTACTGCGCTGCTGATGTTGCTATCACCCATCGCGTATATAAGAGGGTTTTCCCCAATTTCCTTGAGGTTTGCCCGCATCCAGTCAGCTTTGGTGCTCTTAGGCATCTCTCCTCCGTCATTCTCCCGGTAAATCAGAGCTGGGAAGAATATCTCCACAAAGCCGAATCGACGTATCATCAGAGGTTGGACGACGTTCAACGGCGGCTTGTCGAACTATGTGATGAGGCGCTGAGTGTCAAAGACGATCCCGAAAAATATAATAATGACCCCTGGTTACGACAGCTGGACTGGTCCGGCCAGGAGATCAAAATGGTCAAAGGCAAGAAAAAAGGAGACCCTCCCCGCCCAGCTGCCAGACAGAAGAAACCCGGCATGCCGCAATGGTATAAAGACTTGTTTACATCGAACACATCAGATATAAACCTAACGGTAAGGACGCGGATCGCGCCCGTACTTCTCAAGCTCTCATGGGATAGCCATCCGTTGATCTGGTCAGATAAGCACGGTTGGGCATTTAAAGTTCCTCGCGAAAAGGCTCACCTGTACGAAAATCAGCCTGTGGTTGCATGCGATATGTCCGAGGAAAAGAATGCAGAACTGCAAAATGATAGAAGGCACATCTACTTCAAACTTCCCCACAAAGATGGACCACAAGCGCGCTGTGTCAGTCCGCTAGCCAAAGGTTACCTGCAATATTTTGAGCGCGGCACGCTATCGTCTCAGTATACTCTTGCCAAGGAGGCATTGGAAATGAATGCGTCTTGTTCTTATTGGATCAGTGCTCGTGACCGAATCATGGGTCAACTAGTCGTTTATGAGAATGACGTACGGTCCCTTACGCCGAAGAAGAAAGAGAATGAGAAACTAGGATTCATTCTGCCTCAAATTATTCCAATGGGAACTATCACTCGAAGGGCCGTTGAAAATACATGGCTTACAGCCAGTAATGCCAAAGAAAATCGTGTCGGCTCTGAGTTAAAGGCAATGATCAAGGCCCCGCCTGACTACGCCTTCGTTGGTGCCGACGTCGACTCTCAAGAACTATGGATTGCAAGTCTGATCGGTGATGCTCAATTCCAACTTCACGGTGGAAATGCAATTGGATTCATGACCCTGGAAGGGTCCAAGGCCGCTGGAACTGATATGCATTCGCGCACTGCTAAGATTTTGGGCATTTCTCGCAACGATGCGAAGGTATTTAATTATGGCCGTATTTATGGAGCCGGTGTCAAATTTGCAGCTACTTTACTACGCCAGTTCAACCCATCCATGACTGAGAGACAAACCCAGGACGTCGCAACCAAGCTGTACAGGGAGACGAAGGGTGCCAAAACCACTCGCCGCCTTTTGAGTGACAACCCCTTCTGGCGAGGCGGCACAGAGTCCTTCGTCTTCAACAAGTTGGAAGAGTTTGCCGATCAAGAACGGCCACGGACTCCAGTTCTAGGTGCTGGTATCACTGAAGCTCTGATGCGGCGCTTTATCAATAGAGGTAGCTTCATGACCTCACGTATCAACTGGGCAATCCAATCTTCTGGTGTAGATTACCTTCACCTACTGATTATCTCCATGGATTATCTCATTCGACGCTTCAATATCCAGGCCCGCTTGGCCATCACTGTCCACGACGAAATTAGATATCTTGTCAAAGAGGAAGACAAATATCGCTCTGCTCTGGCTTTGCAGGTTGCGAATGTGTGGACGCGCGCCATGTTCTCGCAGCAGGTTGGTATCAATGATTTGCCACAGTCCTGTGCCTACTTCTCTCAAATTGACATCGACCACGTGTTGCGAAAAGAGGTCGATATGGACTGCGTAACCCCATCTCATCCACACAAAATTCCCCACGGCGAAAGTCTTGACATTCTTGAACTCCTCAACAAAAACGACCAAGCCCGCTTAGACCCATCAATCACCCCAGTTTCGCCACCATCGCCAGAAAATTTTAGTTACACACCTCGAGAAACCGTAATGTCTGCACTTCAAACCTCCAATAATCCGGCTCTTATAAAAGCTCAAATCACCAAGGGTGACAAGGAACTTCGAGAGATTATAAAAGAGGTCACTCAGGCAAATACTCCGACCAAACAAACAACGACGCGGTCGAATACCCGCACCAAATCAGCCAGTGGATCTACAGCTACAGCCGAACCCCAAAAAGCAATTCTCATGGATATCGGTTCGGGACTCTACGGTGGTGACTTTCGAGACTTCCCGCAGGGGAGCAGGCCTCCCCAGGTCAATTTCGGCCGTCAGACTTGGAAACCACGCCCGACGGCGAGAGCATAAATCATCTTCAATTTCTTTCTTTTAATTCACCTTTTCATTTCCTATGTATATGTCTTTGTTGTACGGTCTGCCAAGATCTTGCATTGCACTTTTTATATCCTCGATTACACTTCGCAGATGTATTATATGACTTACGAAGCATGGGGGCGGCGTCTGTGGCCTGTGGTGTGGAATCAAACTACAAAGCTATATTTTTTGGATTTTGGATTGATATGGTGATCATAATGTGAGATGTAAATAATAAATCTGATCTACTTTATCTACCAGTCTTATGTCTTTCTGTCTAATAAAAATCACCCCAATTCACAAGTTCTCGTAACCAAGTCCAAAACAACGGACGAAACAAGTTTCTAAACACCACTTTTCCTCCCTGTGTCCAATGTATTCCTCCGACTGGCCGCGCCCCTCAACATCCCATCCCCTTTCTTTCCCAATACAACCTCCAGCGCCTGAATCAGGCCTGTGGAGTCATACCTCATCCCAATAGGGACCTCAATCCCAGTCTCTCCTAGATGCGAGACGATTTTCCGCCCATAAAGACGAAGAGTCTCAATACCCAGTTCAGAAAGCCGGTCTCTGTCGACGTGCGGTGTCCCTGGCCCTTCGAGATGGAGGACGTGCGTAACATACGAGGTGTAAGGGAGTGAAAGGCCTCCATCATTCAGAGCTAAGGACGGGAATGCTTCAATATCTGAGGCGGATGTAGATGCCGGCGTGGGTTCGGGCTTCATACGTCCGCGACTCTCTTCGCCCGCACGAGTGATAGCTTCGATGAAATCCATAGCCGAGAATGGGTCTGAGGGCGGACCGGTCTCTCTATCTAGAGAGCCGTTTAGGATGAGGATCTTGTGGCGCGCCGGGCTGGAGACGATGGCTTGCCCGACGCCTTGGAGGACTAAGCTAGGGATGAGAGAAGTGTAGAGGGAGCCGATACTGTATATAATCGCCTGTGAATCGCGCAGCGACTCAAGAACGCGCGGGCTGGCACGGGGTCTAATTTCCTGGCCGTAGGGGTTTATATACCAAACTCTAGTGATGCGGGCGGGTAAGTCCTCGTTTTCGGACTTGGAAAAGTTGATGCTCTTCTTGCGGAGGTGGGGGAGGAATCCAGGAGGTTGATCGTCTTCGTAGACAGCTGTGTCGAGGACGTCAGATGGTTCAGTATAGTCGATGCCCTGGTCGATAGATGTGCTTGTCCCGCCGTCCTGCAGGGCAGGGTTTGGTCTTGGTGACGCCAGGCGAGGTGGAAGGCTGGGATGAGAAATGCTGTTTTGGCCT